GTGTCTGTTGCTTTTGTCTGCATGCCAAATGGATGGCGGGGGTGCCCTTTTTTGCTGCTCTTTAAAATGTTTTTGGGCAACTCTGTGTGTTAATGCATCAATTCTAGGTGTTAACCCGCTTCATTTCAGTTTTGTACTTTGAAATTCTTTTTTATTCACTCCCCTGCGATCGAGTCCAGCTCCTGTCTCCTAATGTGCTCTGTGAACTGTTCCATTTTTTCCTTCATCTCATTTACGATTTCAGGGAAAGGATTGTGTGCTACTCTTTCCTTCTGTGCACTTACTTGTCCTGTTCTGACAGGCCCCCATCTAGGTCTCAGTTGAAGTTTAACTGAGTAGACCCCGTTTCATCTTTTCATTTTGCGAGGGCCCCTTTTCCATTTCTGTCCCCATTCCTCAGGCACAGGGGAGCGACCTGACACCTGCGGTTGACCACAAATATATATAACAGGGGCCGGCACATCTCTTTTGTAGGTTTCTTACAGCTGTTTTCAGTGTTTTATTCTGTTCCTGTGCTTGCTGGCTGTGGGCTGCTTGCTGCCCCGCAAGGAGAGTGAGAGCAGGCCAGGGCTTTGTAGCATCTGCTGAGTCTTTTAACACTTTTGTTGTTTCTTTTACTTGCCCCGCCAACTTTGTGGCCTGTTGTCTTAACCATTTAACAGCCATGGTTATAGTTTGCAATATTCTACATTTCAAGGCTAGTTTCTGTTCTAGCCTTACAAATATCATTCTATGTCTCTTCCCCACTATGTTTTTTAAATTCATGTAACCCTTCTGCCCATCTGAGTTGGCAGCAACAAGGGCCGGGTTAGTATCTAGAGGTTCCGTTTCAATAACGCAATGCAAAACCGGCTTGAGCCCCCACCCAGGGACCTGGGACAATTACATACCACCCCCTGGGCGCCTCTAGGAGGCAATACTTCCCCTCTCGCAAGCACGGAGTCTGAGTGTAGCAATAGCCTTTTAATAAAGGAGGGAAACAATGCGGCATTATGGTGGGGAAACACCACAGACAGGATTCATTAACACAAACCATGAGCAAAAGACCCACCCCCAAGTAAGTTTGGCAGTGTCCTTTTCCCCTCAGGGTCTTAAGTCCAGCACCCAAAAAATCACCTGAAGTCCCAAAAGTCCAACACCCCAAAAGTCTCTTGAGTCCAGCAACCCAAAAATCACCCAAAAGTCTCTGTCCCTGGTCAGTGCAGCCCCAGAGTTCAAGAGTGTATCTGCAGAGTTTTACCTCCCAGCCTGGGTGGAAATGGGGGGGGGGGCACAGGTGTGTTTAGGGTCACCTTATGTGGTCCGAGGCCGACTGCCCCACCTCTCCGTGGGGTTCTGCTGCAGCCTTCACCGCAAGCCACTTCGCCAGTCGCTCTGCTCCACCAGCCGTCCCATGAGCTGCTCCGCTCCGCTCCGCTCCGCTCCACCAACCATCCCATGAGCCACTCCAGCTGGCCTGGAAACTGCTCTGGTCTGCCAGCCACTCAGCAATATATCTTCAGTCCCCCCAGCAATTTCAGCTAATTTCAGTAATTCTAGCGCTTTAGTGATTTCAGCTTGTAGTAGGGGAGCCTCAGTGCTGGTGCATCATTGGCCCAAAGTGAATTCAGCTCAGCAGCTTGTAACTAGACTCCTAATAGAATTAAAATTAGCTCTGATACTCCACACTAGAGGAGGAGGAGGAGGAGGAGGAGGTGTTGGTGGTGGTGGTGGTATTGGTATTGAAGGCTCTCAAAAGGGCCCATACCACCAGGTCCAAATGCCTGTCCCTGGCCCCTCTTTATTCACTGGGTTTTGGAACCCATGTCCCTTGTCTAGCGAGTGCTACTTTGTTGATGGCAAGTCCCTCTGTCATAAAACAGTTCCATTGTCCTTGATTCACAGAATCAGGGTAACAACACTTTATTCTTCCTGTCCCAATAACAGAGAAACTGGGGATCCTACAGCAGCCAAAGTGACCATTTGGGCTCATGCTAGACGGGGTGGGTGTCCTATGCAAACAAGATCAGCCCCTGAAGTTCTTTTCCACAACTCGCCACAATTCACCACCAGATCTCAGGGGAGAGCTCATCCGGACTCTGCTTACATTCATATGGACCCCTCTTTTGCTAGCAACCCAGCGGGTCCATGAGTTATCAGACTCTGTAGGGATTTGCAGGGAGGGGTTAAGGGGGTTTCCTAGTTTGTGGTTTTCTGTTATGTTAGATAACGATTCCTACAACGGACAGCTCGCTTACTCACCAGATCAGTGGTCTGTTCAATCTTGATAACAGTCGGCTGCATGTGTATGTTCCCTCTGTGAGCTACTCTAGCTCTGCAGATCACTGACACAGCAGATCTTGAGCAAACTGCCCAATGACCACAGACTCCGATAAGGTACGAAGGCACCCAGCCAGGTTTATTGCCAAATGAAACACAATCTCTAGCTCCCCGGATCAGATGTCTACAGTTCTGCCAGTACATATGTGCTCCCTGACAATGGACCAGCTCAGTCAGTGGCGGGACTCTCCACTGCCCCTAGGCCAGACAAAGACAACTCCTCAGGGGTCCAGTTTTTTACACAGGTACAAGCAAGTTACACATCACTCCTGACGTATTGAGGTACAACCCCTCCTTGTACATGTTGGTTCAATTAAAACAACTCTATCCATATTATCCTTTTGCCCATGTCTTTAGGATGGGTCAGCCTGTTCCTTGTTATCTGTGTGGAATGTGCAAGTATCCGAGCGCTCTGGTACCATCCTAGCACATGTTTATACCACTAGTGTCCAGTACCTTTTAGGTGTGTGTATTTTTGCAGCATCAGCCCTTTCCTTGCCAGCTTCTGTGAGCAGGGCCTGCCTCTGGCTCACCGCTTAACTTTGCTTTATGTTAGCAAAGTCATGACCATTACTTTAGCTCAGGCCTCAGGCCTTATACCAGGCCTCTGATATAAGGCTTTATGTTTCAGAGCCTTGTCTTACCACAGTTTGTAGAACTTTGACTGCAACATTTATCTTTTGTTTCTTAAGTAACCAACTCTGATTTCTGTGCTTGTTACTTATAATCACTTAAAATCGATCTGTCTGTAGTTAAACCTGTTTTATATTTTCCCTTAAAAAGTAAGTTTTGGTTGAAGTGTTTGGGAAATCTCAGCTCAGTTTACAAAGGCTGGTGCGTGTCCTCTGCAAACAGAGGGAGGGGTGAACTGGGTAATGGACTCGCACTAGCCAGGCTTCTGACCACTGCCAGACAGTACAGTTCTGGGGTGCAAGGCGCAGGGGGTATTGGCTGGGGTCTCTCTAGTGTTTCTTCACTAGTGGGAAAAGCATCCATGTAACTCAGGTGGGTGCATCGCTGCCTGTGGGTGTCTGTGTGGGTGCAGCGCCTGCCAGAGGCTTGTAGCTTGTCACAGCATCACAGCGTGAGAGGCTCACTCCAGGTTAGTGGGGCAGAGGCCTCCGTGGTAAAGGAAAAAAGCTGCTCTGAGCTCAATGGTGGTGGCGTGTTTCACTCCCTGCCCCCAAACTGCTGCGTGGGCAGGAAATCTCTCTGGTGCCCCCGGCTGCTGAAGGCCAATGAGCGAGAGCAGCACGGGAGGCTACTGCCTGCGATACCTGCCTGGGGAAAATGCGGTGCAGGCAGGTCCCTGGAAGTGGAGGGGAGCGGGGTGGTGTGTGGAAGAACGGGCGGCTGGGGGGATCCTGACCCCAGAGCCCTGGCAAGCGGTGGGCACCGAGCACCGGACAGAAGGCCTGGCCCGGCTACCTCATGCAAAGGGACAGTCCCGGGAAAACCAGGGTAGGGAGTCACAGCCCTGATTTCTCCTCCCAACGGGTACGGTCCGGCAAGGACCAGATCTCGGCTAAGCCAAGCAAGGGGCCGGGGGGAGCCGAGGGTCTGTGAGCTTCTGCATTCACTTTCCTGTACATCAGCGATTTAAAGAGGAAAACGCTGGGCTCCAAGCCAGAGAACCACGGCACCGGAGACAAGGGCTCAGACGTGTTGTGGCTTCTTGATGCACACGGCTGGCGGTCTGGCAGAAATCACACCCACGGGGCGGCTCCAGCTGGGTATATAACTCGCTGCCTTGAAGCCAGGGGCTGTCTGCTCCGCTGGCTGGAGGCTGAGCTGGGCCGTCCCGACCCAGAGCTTCTGTGGGGCAGGATGATGGGGGGGCTCTGCTCCCAGCTGGCCGCGCTGCTGCTGCTCGTGCTGCCATCCTCACCACATGGTAAAATGGACCAAGGGATCCAGGGAGTTGCAGACCAGAGCAGAGGGGACGACCCTGCAGCCTGGGTGGGGAGGGAATAGATCTGAGGGGGGGAATCAACTGGATGAGACGATCCTGCCCCCTGTGGGTGGAATTGACAGGAGGGGACCATCCTGCCCCCCTGGGGGTGGAATCGACTGAGGGGGAAGATCCTGCCCCAGTGGACTGGCTCTGTCTCTTTCCCAGGGCCTGGGTTCAAGGGTTTGTGGGAACGTGAGCAAAACAGGTTCTGTGCACTGAGGGCAGAAATGATGCGCCGGTCCCCGGGCCCCGCTGTGAATGAAGGGACCTAAGCTCACCTCCAAGACACCCCCCACCCCCTGGGCTGGCATGACCCCTGCAATCCCTCTGACTCACTCCCACAGGAGCCTTGGCCCCAGCACCCTCTCAGCTTCTGCACCCAAATCCTCTTGCGCCCTTGGGCTTTGCAGGGTGGAGGGAGGACGTGTGGCCTGAGAGAGCTGGGAGCAGCCCCCTTTCATCTCATGTCAACGTTCACTCTGAAACTTACTGATGCATAGTAGCCACTTATGATTTGAGGCAGAATATATAGATTATGGAAGGAGCTATGGGACAGTGGATGGGGTTTTTATTCCAGCTCTTTTCCCTGCCTTCCACCCTCCCCAATCAGACCCTAATGCTGCTCCTCCCCCAATGGCTCTGACTCTGTAATGTCTTCCCAACATTTCCATTTCCTCCACAGGTGCAGAGGAGAGTCAAGACCAGACAGGTAAAGTCTGGACTCCTGGGTTCTATCGCCTGCTCTGGGAGGGGAGTGGGGTCTAGTGGGTTATGGGAGGGAGCCAGGACTCCTGGGTTCTATCCCTGGCTCTGGGTGGAAGATGTGCACTTTGTCCCATGTTAACATGGCTCCCCTGTTTTGTGCAGTGTTCAGCCGTATCATAGGGGGGCAGGATGCACAGGAGGGTCGATGGCCCTGGCAAGTCAGTGTGCAAAAATATAATGATATAAAAGATGAATATCACCACATCTGTGGAGGATCCCTCATCTCAGCCCAGTGGGTGGTGTCAGCCGCTCACTGCTTCAATCCGTGAGTAACCCAGGCGGGGTGGGGGGGAGGAGCAGGTTCCTCTTATTTGGCTTGCAGCAACATCTGTTTGTGGCCTGTGCCCCCTCACTGACCCCCTGCTCTTGATCAAGCCATCCCCATGGTGCCACGCAGCTGTTCTGCTGCTGTGCCCACCCCAGAGGTGGCTGCATCTCAGCATTCCACTATCTTCCCCTTTTCCTTTTCTCTCCTCCAGCCCCGTGCCCTATTCCAAGTACCGTTTGGTGCTGGGGGCGCACCAGCTCCTCAAGCCCTCCCCGAATCAGGTCCTGGCCAACGTGCAGAAGATCATCCCCCACCCCCGTTACAATAGGACGAGCTTCGTTGCTGACATCGCCTTGGTGAGGATGAAGAAGCCAGTGAAATCCACTAAGTTCATCCGGCCCATCTCACTGCCGGGGGCCTCCCGTCAGTTCCCTGAGGAGAAGAAGTGTTGGGTCACCGGCTGGGGACGGGTTGAAATGACCAGTAAGTGTCAGAGGTCTGAGAGAGGCACTGGGAGGCCATAATTGTTATGGGGTTGGGGAGAGCAGTTCCCTGCTCTGTCCCCACCCCAACTCCACCCGCTCCCCAACCCCATAACAATTATGGCCTCCCAGTGCCTCTCTCAGACCTCTGACACTTACTGGTCATTTCAACCCGTCCCCAGCCGGTGACCCAACACTTCTTCTCCTCAGGGAACTGACGGGAGGCCCCCG